ATCCAATTTCTCCGATTGTTAATATCTTACAATACCATATACATCTGTCACAACTAAGAAACCAACATTGGCACATTACTATTAACTAAATTTCACACTTTATTCAGATTTCACTAGTTTGACATTAATGTCCTTTTTCTACTTGAGGTTCCCAGACAGGGTATCACATTTAGTCATCATGTATCATCTCCTCTGGTGTGACAGTTTCACAGACTTTTCTTGTTTTTCAAGATCATGACAATATTAAATACTGATATATAATTTGTAGATTGTCCATCAACTTGATTTTGTCTGATATTTCTTCTCATGGTTTGACTAGGGTTAGGGCTTTGGATAAGAATAACACAAAGGAGGTGAAATGTTTTCATTACATCTTATCAAGGTACACATTATCAATATGACTTCTTGCTCACGTTACTATTGATCACTTCGTCCGGGCAGTGTTTGCTATATTTCTCCACTGTACAGTTATACTTTCCCCTTCTTTCCTTACCCACCCTTTGAAAGCAAGTCACTAAGTACAGCCAATACTCATCTTGGTGTTGGGGAAGAGTGGGGGGATCAAACTCTACCTCCTGGAGAAAAATCACTTTTTAAGATAAATACAAAACTTTCTCAATTCCTATAAAATATATATTAACTGCCTCAAAGCATTCAATAATCCAACTGAGTGTTTAATATGAGTCACTCTGATAGGCACTTCAAATGAGAGGTGACGCAGTCCCTTCACAAGAAGTTTATAATATAATAAAGATACCACATGAAAAATCCAAGTACTATAGTATGTCAAAAAGGGAAATCAAATTCAGTTAGAGTAATGAAAAATTTCACATAACAAGTGACGTTCAAGCAAAGCATTCAAAGCTGAGTAGTATTCTGACACATGAAGATTTATGCAAATTCAACATTCATTTATGATTACAAACTGAACAAAGTGGGAAGTAGGTATAGAAGGAACATACTTCAACATAGTAAAGGTCATACATGACAGACCCACAGCTAATATCATATTCAATGGTAAAAAGGTAAAAGCTCTTCCTCTAAGATCAGGAACAAGAAAGGATGCTCTTACCACGTTTATTCAACACAGTACTGGAAGTGTTAGCCAAAGCAATTAGGTAAGAAAAAGAAATAAAAGGCATCCAAACTGGAAAGGAAAAAGTAAAACTGTCACTATTTGCATATGACACGATATTACATATAGAAAACCAAGTGACTCCACCAAAAACTGTTAGAATGAATGAATTTCAGTAAAGTAGCAGGATACAAAACCACTATATGAACTCTAATGCACTTCTATTCATTAATAATGAACTATCAGAAAGAGAAATTAAGAAAACAATTCCATTTACAATTGGAATAAAAAAAATACTTAGAAACAAATTTTAATGAGGAAGGTGAAAAACTCGTATACTGAAAAGTATAAAACAATGATGAAAGAAATTGAAGATTAATATTTTTTCATTATATAAACAGTGGACAAATATTCTGTGCTCATCACCTGGAAGAATATTGTTTAAATGTCCATACTATGCAAAGCAATCTACAGATTCAAAACAACCCCTGTCAAATTCCAATGGCATTTTTCACAGAAATAAAGCAAACAATACTAAAATTTGTACGAAACGACAAAAGACCCCCAACAGCCAAAGCAATCTTGAGACAGAAGAACGTAGGGGCACCAAGGTGGCTCAGTCACTTACGTGTCCAACTCAGGTCATTATCTCAGTTTGTGGATCAGGCTCTGGACTGACAGTGAGTAGTCTGCTTAGGATTCTCTCTCTCTCTCCCTCTCCCCCTACCCCTCCCATACTCACTCTCAAAATAAATAAATAGACTTTAAAAAAAAACGAGAGAAAGAAAAACAAAGCTGGAGCTATCATGCTTCCTGGTTGATAACTATATTATGAAGCGATAGTAATTATGTTTTTAGAGTTTATTTGAGAGAGAGAGAAAGAGAGATAGCAAGCAGGGGAAGGGCAGAGAGAGAGAGAAAGAGAATCCCAAGCCCCAACGTGGGGCTCAATCTCATGAACTTGAGATCATGACTTGAGCTGAAATCAAAAATCGGATGCCTAACTGACTGAGCCACCCAGGTGCCCCACAAAGTTATGATATTGTATGATACTTAAAACAGTTTGATACTGGCATAAAAACAGACACAATGATCAATGGTACAGAATAGTGAGCCCAGAAATAAACCCATGCATATATGGTCAATTAATTTACAACAAAGGAGCCAAGAATATACAATGGGGAGAGGACAGACTCTTCAAGAAATGGTGCTGGGAAAACTGGACAGCCACATGCAAAAGAATGACACTGGACTACTATCTTACACCATACACAAAAAATGAACTCAAACTACATCAAACTAAAAAGCTTCTTCACAGCAAAGGAAATTTTCAACAAAATGAAAGTCAAACTACTGAACAGGAGAAAAATATTTGTAAATCATGTTCTAATAATGGGTCAATATCCAAAATACATAAAGAACTCATACAACTCAACAGCAAAACACTAAACAACCCAATTTAAAAAATGGACAGAGTATGTGAATAGACATTTTTCCAATGAAGACATACAGATGGCCAACAGACACATGAAAAGATCCTCAACATCACTAATCATCAGAGAAATGCTAATCAAAATCACAATGAGATATCATCTCATGCCAGTCAGAATGTCTAGTATCAAATAAGTAAGAAATAACAAGTGTTGGCAAGGATGTGGAGAAAAGAAAACCCTTTTGCACTGTTAATGAGAGAAAACCCTTGTGCAATGTTAATGAGAATGTAAACTGGTCTATCTGCTGTAGAAAACAGTATGGAGGTTGGTCAAAAAACTAAAAATTGAATTACCATATGATCTGGCAGTTCTACTTCTGGGTATTTATCTGAAGAAAACAAAAACACTAATTCAAAAAGATGTAAGTACCCCCATGTTCATTACAGCATTATTTTCAGCCAAGATATGGAAACAACTTAAGTATTCATCAATGGATGAATGGATAAAGATGTCGATGTACATACACAATGGAATACTACTCATCCATGAAAACAAATGACATCTTGCCATTTGCGACATAATGGATGGACCCTGAAGACATTACGTTAAGTGAAATGAGTCAGAAAAAGACAAATACTATATGATCTCACTTATCTATGGAATATAAAAACAAAAACAAAAAACACCAAGTTAATTGATACAGAAAACAGATTGGTGCTTGCCAGAGGCAGTGGGTTGAAGGGGTAGCTAAAATGGGGCAAAAGACACAAAATACTAGTTATAAAATAAATAAGTCAAGAGAATGTAATGTACAGCACGGTGAGTACAGTCAATAATACTTTTACATATTTTAAAGTTGCTACATATTTTTTTCTTTTAATATTTTGAAGTAATCTCTATACCAACATGGGGCTTGAACTTAAAACCCTGAGATCAAGAGTCCCACATTTCACCAAATGAGCCAGCCAGGCTCCCCTAAGACAGTAAATCTTAAAAATCTTCAGCACAAGAAACAACTTAATTCACTATGTATGAGGGATAGGGGTTAATTAGACTTAATGTGGTGATCATTTAGCAACATACACAAATATCAAATCATTATGTTGTATACCTGAAGCTAATGTTAATTATACCTCAGTTTTAAAGAAAGGAAGAAAAAGATGGGAAACAGATGGGAAAAAATTTAAGATGGAGAAAAGAACCTAAAATATGGGAGGAGAGACTCTTCACTCTGTCTCAGGTGTTTTTACACTTTAGCCCAATGGAAATATATATTTAAAAATCTTCAGTGTGTCTTTATAGCTTACCATAAATGGATGGTCATTTCCTATAAATTGGTCACTCCAACCCTAATCATAATAGCAATGTGTGCTCTTACTAATTAAACTATTTCTCCCAGAATAGTATGTAAGGATTTCATGAAGCTTCTGTAGATCCCTACTGTGGCACCTTATTCCCCAACTTAGTCTGGGGAATACATTTTGATACCGTTTTTCCTGGCAGCAATTGCCACAACATACCTTCCCAATGGTCCACTACTAAGTAAAACCTCCCTTTTGTTTCATATCAGAGGGGAAACAGAAAATAAATTTAATGGCATTTAATCAGCACTTGACTAGAACTAAATGTATTCCTAAATATTTTTAATTCCACTTTACAAGGGTTAGTTCTATTATTTCTATAATTGCACCCTCAACAAAAGGTACAGCAGGGAGGTAAGAGGCAGACATCTGCTTTCAAGAGTCAACGAAATCCAGCTGCGGCCAAACACGTACAGCAAACTGTAGGTGAGTCTGCAACACGGGAAATGTTCAGACATACTCGTTAAGTGGGTCTCCCATACTCTTCCGGCTAACGTCCTTTACTTTTTTTTAGTCTTGTGTTTAGTCTTTTGGCTAGGTTTTCAGTAATGAGTGTAAATACTCTTAAGAGATTAAACCCCCCTCCGGCCCCGACCCCGCCAAAAGAAACCCAAAACAAAACAAAATTTAAAAACCGCAAATCACTGACAACTACGCTTGAGGAACAGCAACTCCAGCGGAAAACGTAAGTCCCAGATCATTAATGGACCAAAAAAATCAGTTCCATGATTATTTACCTAAAGGTTTAAAAGCAGAGGACTATATAACCTGGCGTTTCGGTAACAATGGCAACTTCTGAGTAACTATCCTTTATGGAAACGGGAAACAAAAACTTTTCACCTCCCGGGTCAGGAAGACAAAGCTAGCGTCAGGATTTCCTCATCTCGCGACAACTTTCTGACTCTCCCTGTAGGCGCGTGCGTCAGAATTGAGAGCCCGGGGAGCCGCCCAGCCCAGAGGGTGGAGCAAACCGTGTAAGGAGGGAGGGGCCATCAGGAAGGGGTGGAACGGAGGAGGGGCTGGAAAGGGCAGAGCGGAGGGAAAACTTGTGTGGGCCCCGCCCCTCGCGGCACTTCCCCGGAATAGCGTCAGCCGCTCTATAAGAAAGCGTGCGCTGAAATGCTCGGCCTTTTACATCCGGGAAGCGCCGGGCTTAGGTTACGAGGTTGAGGTACGTTGTATTTTGTGCACTATGGTGATAATTGAGGCAGAAGTTTTTGGCCTAGTTAAGATGCACGAGGTTCAGGGATCTTGTAGTGATCGGTCTACGACAGCTTTGGAAACCTCTAGGTTCGAAAACCTGAGGTATTCTTTTGATCACGCGGCGGCCACGTGCAACCCTGGCGCTGAGTCAGAAGTCGAGCGCGCACGGGTCACGGGCCCTCCGACAAAGGATCGGTGCACCTGATGACCGGCAAAGGTCGCGAATTCCGCTGTCGGTGTCAAGTGGCCATCTTGAAGCTACTCCGCCACTGTTAAATAAATAGTGACACCGAATCCTGATACCCGCCACATTTAGATCCAGAAAGTGAGTAATCTCTGTAGTTGTGCTTGCTTGGGAGTTCTGGGATTGTGAATCTCCATGTATCTTTGGGACCTGTCAGCTGTGGCAGTCTCCCTTCCTAGCCATGGAAGAGCATATTCTTGTTTATTGGCAAAGCTGTCACCATTTAATTGGTATCAGATTCTGACTTGCACAAGTAACATTAATCACTTGAAAACCTGAAGGGTGCCGGGTTATTGGGCACATATCTAACTATTGCTTAAATGTTTTTAGGAAGCTGAACTAATCGTTCCAATGGATGACAGGAAACATGACAAGGTATGTTCCTTTTTATTCATATTTCGTCGTTAATCCAGAATCCTTAGTGCTAAGTAATGGGAAGGCCAGAATTGGCCCGATTTGCTGCTACTTTGTAATTTGAAAGAGTAATAAATAGCCAACTAAATAGAAAGTAACTGAAGTTTTTAAGATTTCAGCACTGTGACTTAGGACACAGAGTTTACAAAACTGGTTTTCTTCTCTTGCAGATAATCAAGAAATTCAAAATGTATGGGTGAAGTCCTGTTTATTTAGAATCTTGTGGTGCACTGCCAAACGTGATTTTTTTTTAATCGCAACATGTTGCATATTGAGTGGTGAATAATCTGTAAACTATCAAGTTGGTGGTCTCCGTATAGGCCAGAATATTACTTCGGCGTAAGTATGACATTTAGTAGAGAATAAGTGAGTGCTTGCTTGCTATAATTAAATAAAATGCTTGATTTCATCTGGAAAAAGTCGTGTTCTAAGTCACTACAGTATTTGGGTGGGAACTACACGTGAAGCCACCTTACCCCTAAGGGACAACAGTCATTTTTATACCGTACAAAAGATTAAGGCTACTACACAAGGTGAGCAGCTAAGCACTTTATTCACACAGATGTGCACTGAACACTTGTGTCTTTTAAAGGTCACACTTAACATTTAACAAGAAAAAAAAATTAGCTATTATCAAGGCATATTTTATGAGCCAAGTAGTTTCCCGATCCAGTCTATTAAAATTTCAGTATAAATGTTGCTTGCATCAGCACTATACTTTCGTTATAAAGGTGGCCTGTGCGAAGTTGCCGTAAAGATAAATTTTCTCTCCTGTATTGCACGTTTTCTCAGCCCTTGTGCAAGTGTGCACTGTCTGTACCGCTATCATCACTAGTTGTAAATGCTTGAAAAGTTCTGCCTTTATCAAAACCTTGAGCTTTTACAAAAGGTTTAACGTTATTCTGCCTGACATAGCATTGCAGTCCTGCAAAATCGTAAACTATAAAGCACCTTTACGTTAGCACCAGTTTTTTACAAAGCTGAGGATTTACAAAAAGGGTACGAGTAGATGCAGTAGGGAAAGGGGTGAAGTCCCCTCCATATTAATACAGCCATTGAAAAGGATTACTTAACATGATCTAATCCTAAAGTTCACACTGATTTTTTTCACCTGTTTTTATGCATCTATTTCTTGGATGGATCTACAAAAACTTTAAAACACTGAAGGGCCCTTGATATTAGCAATCATTGTGATTAATTAAGTAGCCTGAGAGGCAAGCCTTTTTTGTTTGGCCTAAGATTTTGCATTGCTAATCAAGAATGTCCTGAAAGGGTGTATAGTAAAGCACCCTTAATTGTCCCTTAATTGTGTTGAGAAATAGCCAGAGGGAAAACTTGCCTTTACTCAGCAGTGGAGGCTGAAAATGACCTGATAAGCACTGGGGCTCCAGAAGTTTGGATCCTACGGTCTCACCTTGGCCTCTGGGCCTGTTTCAAAGCTATGGATACTATAAAACATTACCAGCCTTTTTAAAACGGTCATTGAAGGCCATAGCCACTTAAAGCAGTGCCTAGCATATAGCTGGTGCGTTAATTAAAGCGGTTGAAACAGTTAAATTCTTTTAGAGCTTTTTCTCACTAAGCAGAGAAAGCATTTTTAACAGTATTTTTATTAGCTGGGACTATCAGGATAGTGGAAGTCTACAGATTTTAGTCATTACAAGAAAGTTGCAATAGATGGCACTCTTAAATCATGGTCCAGCAAACCACATAATGCCAAGGAAAAATTTTATCAAGTTGTAAATTTGAAGTAGCTGAAAGTAATTGCTAGAGGATGTTAACAAATAAGGTGGATAAATTAGGTTGTACATCCAACAACTTGAAGACATTCATCAGGAATTCTTCCAAATTTTTCTGGGTAGTATGTGTTGCCATAATGCATAGTACAAAGGCTTCATTCAGGAATGTATGATCATTGATCCTAGTCTAGGTTTATAATGGAATTCCTTCACTTTTTTGGCCGTTGATTTCCTCAGTTGTTAAAGGCTACAGAGATTCAATGTGTGAAAATGTCTTAGCCTTTTGAAGAAAATCTGAGCTTAATGAAACAATGCCACTCCTTGACTCTAGTATAAACAGTATTGATTGAGTTATAAGCTCTAAATCCAAATGAATGTAAAAACAGCCTTACTGCACTCTTGATACACAGTAATCTCTGGAGAATGCTAATAAAGACTCCAGAGTAGTTTTTGGGTGGGCCACAATGCTAGTTAAGGGTAATTAGTACTACACTGAGGTATCTAACAATATTCACATCACAAATTCTCAAGCAGCAATGGTGCACATGATTTAATCACAACACAAAAGAAGGAACATGGCTCTCATCTCCGTTGGCTGGCATCTCTGGCTGAGTGCTAATGTGGATGTTGAACGTTTTCCAGTATTTTCTCTTGAAGCTTCCATGTGAAGAACTACAATTTGGTGACGCTTTTTATCCAAGGTACAAAGGCTGAGACTTTGGTATAGACACCAGGTGAATCCTTGACTCCACAGCCATACCCCCAGGAGGTCACCCCATACACAACCCAACTCTCTCCTGACCGAACACACATGAGTGGTCCTCCGCTGTCTCCCTGGCAGCTGTCAACACGTTTGTGTTCATGTAGATTTCCAGCGCAAAGCATCCTTCCTGTAAACCGACCCTTGTAACGTTCTTCACAAAACCTCTTGGGAAGTAAGGGGATGGCTGCTTGTTGTAGAGTTCTTGAATAGGCTCGTCCTAGTCAGACCAAATAATCTGAGTTAGATGCCAGCCAAAGATCTTACACAAAAGCACTACATTTAACAGTCCAATGAACATTTAATTGAAAATAAAACCCTATTGTGGCATAGTGTAGTTTAAGTGAGTGGTAACTATAAATGCTATAGAAGGACCTGAGTGGCAAGAACTCCAAATATGTCATCTGATAAAAGATTGAGAAGCAAAACATTCCTGTATACTAACCATTTGATGTTGGTGTACTCACTGGCAAGACATTAACTGTTCAGTGGCTAATATGTATAATTGATGATGTCCTCTACAATAGTCCTTTCTTGGGTCTAAATTCCACCTTTTTTTCTTGCATCCTATGTACTCAATTGAAATAATTCATAATAGAACATTCTGTAAAACTGACATTTATCATTTCTGTTAACTTGTATCTAAAGGAAGGTGAATGAACCTTCCCTCTTGCAGTAATTGAGAATGGATACACTTAAGTATTCTCAGACACTTGATTTGCCTCATGGTTCCACATAGCGTACGGAAAAGGCATTTACTCTGATCTCATTTTATTGTTTCATTCAGCAAATGTTTTCTTTGTGGTTTATCTAAGGAGTGGTCAGTATGTGCTTCTTCAGTATTCTATTATCTGCAACAGCTATTCTACCTTTTTTCAGCTATGAAATACAAATATAAAGCCCAGATTTAATGCAGTGTGTGATGAACACAAATACTCTGTAAATAAAACACTGAAATTATCACCTGTAGACAGACATACTTGATGCTCTTTTCAAGAGTATAATTAGCAGTATTGATCATATTTAGTGGAGAGGGGTCAACCTGTCCTTTCTCCTTATTCAGTAGCCATTTGGGAATCAAGTACCCAATCCAGGTGAGCCCCACATCTGTTGTTTCAAGGACCATTCTGAACAAGCACTAGCTGATACACACTGATAAAATTCTATAGCAAAATGATACGGGAAGTTGTCATTCAGCCGGCCAGGCCCAAGTGTTCAAGTAGGATCTTAAAATCATTTCTTCTGTCTCTTTACTAGTCTGGGCAACTGAAAGTAAGGAAGGTTTCTCTACCAGCCCTTAAGGTGATTGAGTTCTGTCAATTTGTACTAAACTGAATGATAACCAATAGTACCCTTGGGATACAAATCCAAATTGCATGCATGCATCACAGGCTTGGCAGAATTTCCAAACTACTAAGCCTGAACCCATTTAAGATTTTACTACCCATTGTACACCCAAAAGTACTGATAATCCCAGACACAAGAAAGGTGCCCAGATGTCATTTGTATTATCTACATTACCCGTGTCTCCCCATCCTGTTATGTAACAATTGGAGGCGGTTTTCTGTGGCCTCTCTCTCCGGAGTGGCAAACAGGCCGGCAAAACATGGCTGCTAAATCTGACACACTGCTCTTCTGGTCCTTCTAATCTAACCAGGGCGATGTCGTAGTCACTGCTGTCAGGTCGATACTCCCGATGAATCACAATCTGCTGAACTCCAATTTCTTCTTCAAACTCTTCTGGCACCAGAGTATGATAATCCCCAACCCGAACAGCATAGCTCCTTGTACTGTTACCATACCTGGGAGGCAGAGAGCTAGTAAGAGGCTAGAGATTGTTAAACTGTCAGCAAGGAAGGTTAACATACTGTAGGCCTTTCCTCCTATTCCTTATCCCTTTTGTAAGTTTACTTTTTGCATTTCTCTGATCCCAGTGCTCTCAGTCCTGTACTCCAAACCCACTTCGTTCATATCACTGTTTAATCCAGGTTCCTGGCCTGGTTTTCTGAGAAGGAGCAAATGTGCAGCATGAGTGGAAAATAACAGCTAAACATTAACCTGTTATCTCCCTACCATGAAAAAGGATCAAAACAGGAACAGATAGAATAGGGCAAAATTACTGTCTTGTTATTTGCTGTCTTCATTTTTCTATCATTTCCATGATAGTAGCTCATCACAAAGCTCTCTGAGGGCAGAAACCATGGCTGCTCTAACTTTGTATCCGTCAAAGCACTTAACACATACCTACTTTACTCCCCTTTCCTGTAAACTGAATGCAAACCAAAACTATTTTCAGGGCAACATACATTTATTATATTCTCACATCTCTTAAATCCTTCTCCAGATGTCACCTCAGTGAGATGACTGCAGCCCACCTTTTGCCCTCCTATACCCCAGCACTCCCAATATCTTTAATCACTTTTTTAACACCATTTTCTAACAGATTAATTTATTATGTCTCTTGTCCCCTGTCTCCCCTGCTTAAACAAGAAGTAACTAAGGACACAGGGATCTTTATGTTCACTGATGACTCTAAAACACCTATAATAGTGATGCCCATTAGGTGAGAATGCAGCATATGTCTTTTAGTGAATGAATGGATGGATGGATATTTTTAATGTGTATGTCTTTTTTCCTTAAAGTATTCAGTTAAAGTAGAAATATTTACTAGATTGATAGTTCTCAGCCTGTTTTTTCAACCAACATACCTTGATTCTGGTGCCTCCCCCTAAAGCAGAGTTTCTCAACCTTAGCACTGTTTTCACATTTGGAACCAGAGAAATCTTTGTTGTGAGAGGCTGTTATGTGCACTGTAGGATGTTTAGAAGCATCCCTGGCCTCTCTTCATAAGGTAGTGAAGGTATACACACATCCAGACACATAAACACACACCCCAGTTGTGACAACCAAAAATGTCTTCAGACATCTCCATATGTCCCCTATGGTGCAAATTAGCCACAGTTGAGAACTACAGACACAATATGATCCAACTCACTTCCAGGTTACTAACTCTTTCTCACTTAAGATTATATAGCACCTTGCTCACTTACCCCCTACCAGTACTTAAAACATCTTAAAGGCTTAACTTTCAATACCATGTCCATTTACTTCCTTAACTTCCTCACTTGCATTGAGCCTATTCTCCATCTCAGCCACCTGCTCCCGTCATGAGACTTAGACCTTGTATTCACCAAATACTACACATTTCTGAAGTCTTGATTTAAAGCATCTCCCACTTTCTACCTCCTATCCTTACAGTTTTATAGCTCTACCATTCTTCAACCCCATTACGCTTCAATCCTTTGACCCCACTAGTTTTTTCATTTCAATCTCACTTTGCCTATGACTTCCCTTCTTACCAGGCTTGGATTCCACAATCACTCCTTTGCAAAAACTCAGTCCCTCATTCCTTTTATCTGCCAAACTCTAGCTATGGTTTCATCAACTTAGCACCTGGTTTGTGCTAGCGTCTGACTGTTGAGATAGAAATACGTACATTTTACAGCTCTCACCTTAATTTTCTTTTTATGAAAACTAGAAAGTCTTACACTAGATATGAGACCTGTACTTGAATGTGAATTTACAGAAGTCTGTATTGAAAACTTGAGTTTTCTAATGACTGCCTATTTAAATACAGCCTTCCATTTCCTCCTGTAAAATTACTAGAAGTTCTAAGTTGTTCAAACACTCTAACACCCCTAAGTGGGGCTTGCAATATATAGAGTAAGTTTCTTAACTATGTCAGCTCAAAAAACTGAACAGTGCTACAAAGATGATTTAGCTTATACATCCACCTATTCTTGATCTATAATACTAATAATTTCCTGTGCTTCCTTGATTCCCCTTTTCCAACCATAAGTCATCACAGACCTTTTAAATTCAGAAAGCTTCTTATATATTGTTCCCAGAGAAGATCCTCTTGTGGGTTCCACTTCAAAATTTAAGTGAAGTTTGGGATTATTTCACATCTTAAAACAGTAAAAAGTAATAGTCATGGAGAAAGATCAGATTTACTTCTCACTCCCACTTTCTGGGTACTGATACTATATTATAAAAATTCAGTTTGTCTAGGGGCCCCTGGGTGGCTCGGTTAAGCACCCAACTTCAGCTCAAGTCATGATCTCATGGTTTGTGAGTTCAAGCCCTACATCGGGCTTGCTGCTATCAGTGCAGAGGCTGCTTCAGATTCTCTGTCCCCCCTCATTCCATCCCTCCCCCACTCACGCACTTGCTCTCTCTCAAAAATAAACTTTTTTTTAAATTCACTATGACTGGGGCGCCTGGGTGGCGCAGTCGGTTAAGCGTCCGACTTCAGCCAGGTCACGATCTTGCGGTCCGTGAGTTCGAGCCCCGCGTCGGGCTCTGGGCTGATGGCTCAGAGTCTGGAGCCTGTTTCCGATTCTGTGTCTCCCTCTCTCTCTGCCCCTCCCCCGTTCATGCTCTGTCTGTCTCTGTCCCAAAAATAAATAAACGTTGAAAAAAAAAATTAAAAAAAAAAAAATAAATTCACTATGACTAATTAATGTATTCAGGTTTTAAGGTAAAACCTCAAGTGATTTAACGCCTTTCTAAAAAGAATAATTGTGAATGCATCCTTGAAAGTGGTGCTGAAATGTTTCCATATTATCTTTAGAATGGAATTGAAGAAATTCTCTTGAGCTTCATTGTCCAGTGCAGTAGCCAGTAGCCCAATGTGGCTACTGGAGTACTTGAAATGTGGTTGGTCTGAAGTAAAATGTGCTAAAAGTATAAAATATGCACTGGATTTTGGATACTTGGTATGAAAAAGAATACTAAATATATTGTGTCTATAGATAATAAGCATTAAATATCCCGATTTTATATTATATTTTGCAATGCTATTTTGGATATACCAAGTTAAATAAAATATTAAAATTATTTCCACCTGTTTGGATTTTTTTATCTTTTAATGTGGCTACTAGAAAAAGTCACATTTGTTGCTCACATTGTATTTCTGCTAGACAGTACTGGTCTAGAGAAATAGTTTGGCATAAACTAGGCATCCTATTTTATTATATCTCTTTAATACAGTCTCTTACATTGTTTATTACATTGTCTATATATAAATTTTAAGCTTGGATTATGAGACATTCCCTTCATACGTGAACTTTTTATATCCTTTCACATAATTACAGTACTGTTCAACCTGAAAAAAAAAAAGTCACTACAACAATATTTTCCACTCTTTGAAAGAGCTGTGTCACTTCACTAAAATGATCCTTGTGGGGCGCCTGGGTGGCTCAGCCGGTTAAGCGGCCGACTTCGGCTCAGGTCATGATCTCGCGGTCCATGAGTTGGAGCCCCGAGTTGGGCTCTGTGCTGACAGCTCAGAGCCTGGAGCCTGTTTCAGATTCTGTGTCTCCCTCTCCCTGACCCTCCCCCGTTCATGCTTTGTCTCTCTCTGTCTCGAAAATAAATAAATGTTAAAAAAAAAAATTAAAAAAAATATATTAAAAAAAAAATGATCCTTGTATCTAAACTAACTGTATAAATATATTCTACATTATCTGAAAATTGGGTCTTCAGCGAGTAAACAAAGAAACATTTCTACAACAAGGAAATTTCGTTTTAAAATACCCAAGTGTTAAAGTCTTGTGTAGTATTGCCTTAATGTGCCCCTTCATTCCTGGACTACTGCAATAGTCTTGTCCAATGGCCTTGCTGCTTCAGGTTTTAACTTTTTCAGTCCCTCCTTCACACTGCAGCCAGAGTGAGGTTTCTTTTTTTTTTTTTAATTTTTTTTTCAACGTTTTTATTTATTTATGGGACAGACAGAGACAGAGCATGAACGGGGGAGGGGCAGAGAGAGAGGGAGACACAGAATCGGAAACAGGCTCCAGGCTCCGAGCCATCAGCCCAGAGCCCGACGCGGGGCTCGAACTCACGGACCGTGTGATCGTGACCTGGCCGAAGTCGGACGCTTAACCGACTGCGCCACCCAGGCGCCCCCAGAGTGAGGTTTCTATCTGACAATATAACTACTCTTCTATATACCCTTCAAGAGTTCTCCACTATCTACACAATAAAGTTCAAATTCCTTAAATGATACGCAAATTCATCCAAGAATGGCTCTTGCCTACCTGACCTCAGCCTGGTCTCCATTCCCCTGTCATTTTAGCTGCTTGAAGAGGTATCCCACACACCTGGCTTTATTCGAACTATTTGCAGTATCCCCCACCTACCATCTTAACATGACAACTGATTTTATCACTCAAGTCTCAAGTCCAGAACCTCCTAGGAAGCTCTTGTTGCCCTGCCCGAAAACTGACCAATCCTGCCTTTGACACTCTCACTAGCACTGTCAGAGCATTTATAACAATTTCTAAGACAAATTAAGATGTCAGGTCTCCCCAGGTAAAGTCTCCTTAAGTGTAAGGACCATGCTATACTCACTTTTGTATCTTCAGCACTAAGCAAAGTGCTTGGCACAGACAAAAAAGTCTTAGTGTATGTTAAATAACTTCTTTTCAAAAAAAAATTTTTTTTTTAATGTTTATTTATTTTTGAGGCAGAGAGAGACAGAGCATGAACGGGGTAGGGTCAGAGAGAGGGAGACACAGAATCCGAAACAGGCTCCAGGCTCCGAGCTGTCAGCACAGAGCCCGACGCGGGCTTGTGTAAAGTCTTGTGTAGTATTGTGTAGAACTCACGGACTGCGAGATCGTGACCTGAGCCGAAGTCGGCCGCTCAACCAACTGAGCCACCCAGGCGCCCCAAATAACTTCTTTTCAAAGGCATCCACGTGCACATATATAATACTGTCATCCCTAACTTACTGAAA